CCCCCACCCCCCCCGCCAGCTGCCTCTCTGTCTATCAGTTTAATGTAATGTTTTGAGTTGGCTTTGGATTTTCAGAATAATAAATCCATTGACTATGGAAAGGTGTTTGCACTGATAAGTATAAATTAGACGCAGCTAGGATAAAACCCTCACTTGAGGCAGCAGTGTAGCACTGTAATTTTGTTACTATGGCATAATGTTTCCTTTTCATTATGGGTTTCTCAGGTTTTTGTCCTAGTAATGTTCTTGAGCAGTTTTAGTATAAATATTTTGTCAGCATAGCACGGCATAATTTCATAATTATTAGTTAAGTCCACAAGTAATCACTGTTACCTGATTTACTGCAGAGACTGTGGAAACTTGAGAATTAATTTCTGCCTTAAGCACAGCAGCAGAGGCTGAACTATGTCCAGTCTCGCAGATTACTGTTGGCCTTGGTTTGTCTAACTCTGAGCCCTTATTCTGGGCAAGGAAATTGAGTCCTTCCAAGTACTCTGTGTTACTACAGCTAAGACAATCCCCTTGCTTCTGCTGCACTTTACCCTATTAGCACATGCTGTTGTGGCTTGCTTTGACAACAAAAGTAAAACTAGTAAGTTTTAAGTGCAGGAAGCCAAGGTGCATGCACATTTCATTGCACTGGTTGCTTAGGGAGTTATGGTTTAAGTGCTCTCTGATGAATTAACCTCACAACAGAGTGAGATGGTAGAGGTGAGGAAATCAGAAGGGGTTTGGGAACACCATAATCTGCCATATCTGTTTGCTGAATTGATCCATATCATCCCCCAAATCTCTTAAGACAGATCCCAAGAGGCTAAAGGGAATTACTCAGACAGTTGTAGACTTAGCAAATGTGTGTTGTCTCCACATTGTTTAGTCCACAGTAAAAGTGAGACAAGGCAATTTAGAGCTGCAGGCAGATGTGTCTGGCTGTAGCTGAGCCAGAATGAGGTATTTGTGCTGTTGTAAAATCTGTCAGTGAGTGTAGGCACTGCCTTGGCTAGCTGTGACCTGGGTTAAGTGTTGGCATGGGTGGTGAGGAGAAGAGAGGGTGAGGAACATACCTATTATCTTTCCAGATGGAAGCAAAGAGTCAGGATCAAAACTCAGAGCAGTGAAAGAGCAGCAGTGTGTAACCTCTTTATCTCACTACATACAGAGACACACAGTTAAAATCTGCTTCAGTCTGGAGCCAAGCTCACAGATAATCCTGTGGCTCAACTGCTGTGTGACAGCTCATTAAGCAGCTGGAATTTAATTATGCATTGCAAATTTAATTCTGCATCTTACCTTAATCATGGTTAGGTAGGTGTCAGTGGAGAACTAATTGCTGGAGCTTGTACAAATGTTTAAACTATGATATTTTAGAAGTATTATGTAAGTCTATGAATACTTCATCACCTGCTGTGTTGTGTGGGGAACACTGTTAATTCCCACACCTATGCTACTCCAGGGAATAAAAGATTTTCTGGACGAAAAATGTCATCTGAGAAGAGTTCAAGAAAGTTACACAACTTTCTTGAGTTGAGTGACTTTATGCTGGATGAAACCCTCAGAGGATGGGGTGTGTGTGCGTGGGGGTGTTGCATACCCAAGTAGGGATGATAAAATAAACCAGTTGTTCTGAAAAATTGTTAAAAAGGAAACACACAAATCATGTAATAAACTGGACATGTCTTTGGAAAATTGGAAGCAAATGCACAGAGGAAGGACTGTAATTCAATCCCCATACACATCATATGAGGGGAACCCATTAAGTTGGGCAAACCTGATGAAGTGGCCACAATAGTTGGATAAGGAGGTGATAGATCTCTTGCAGAAATATAAATTACACTCTATCTGAATGTGCAAGAATTGCACATTTGATAAGAGAACGGCAGATTTTTATAAGAGAAGAAGTTATCTCTGTCTGTGTATTGGTTAGATACAGTAATTTTCTAACTCCTTTTTATAATTTTCTTTAAATATGACATTGACATGGACTGCCCAAATAGCTGGGTATTGAAAGATAAGAAAGTACAATTCAGGGGGTAGGAAGGGATATCTGGTCTGTGTATCACAGGAATCCCGTCTGTCATAACACTTATTCAGCTGGCTCTTTTTAAGTCCTGGGTCTCAAACTGACATACTCAAAACCTGCAGAGTGGGATGTGGTTTGCACAGGATTGGAAATTACTGTTTTTCTCTGCAAGAAGGCAGAAAAAAAAATGTCTGAGACTCCCAGCATTGTATTATGGTTAAAACTGCCTAGAAGAGAATGTCATTTAATGTTGTTGATCTCTGAAATACTTCCTTGCTCCTGGAAACTGTCCTACTGTATATGGTTCTATGAAAATGTGAGGTGGTTTTGGTGGTCTTTCCATTTTTCTTTCTTTAGTTGTTCTAATACTCAGTCTTTTGCTGGAAAACAGCCAGATTACCACAGACATCAGTAGGATCTGGAAGATGAGTACCTGAATGCTTTTACTCCAGGAATTATGAGAAATTAATAGCATTAGGAAAGGGAAAAGCAGGGAGAAAGTAGCTTGGAAATGTTTCAGGATGCTGTAGCTGGTTATGGGACTTCCTGATTTAGTATACAATGTTGATTTGTTATATAAACTTAAAACCACCTTGTTTTCAAAACAAAAGGGTTTCATAGGAAACAGCCATAAAACCACTTCTCATACTGCAACAGCATCTCACAGAAATGGTGAACATTAGGGCCCATGGGGGAAACTAAATTTACTGCTCATTTTTCATGACACTGACATTCTTGTTTTCATTTCAAGTAACTTTAAACACTAAATTTAGGCCCCAGCTGTCTTTGGCTTCTGTTAAGCAGTAGTTTTCCATGTCTTGGTTTGATGCAGTGAGTTCTAGCTTATACTACAGACAATATATTGATGTTTTTTTAAAGTGATCTTTCATGATCTTTAGAAATAAGCCAATAGCCTCTCCAAGGTCAGAAGGAGCAAGGTAGAAAACTGCTGGTCTGTGGTTAATGGGGACAGAGAGGCTCCTTCACAAGGCAACCTGACTTGGATCTGAGTTTGGGTCCAAAAGGTGTCTTTCACTTCAGAAATATCATAATTATAGAAGTATTGATGGAAGTTTAGGGTGCCTTGTATGTAGCTTTAAGTCCACTATGAACCTTTTAAAGATGACAAACCTTAAAAAAGGACTATCTTGAGATGTTAATCCTTAAACATGGCCATGATATTCCTAGGTTACAGACAGCATGTGGTGAAGCTGTCCTTGTAGTCTTCAAGGTATGCCTGTGGAAATTAGCTATCATCACCCTGCATCTTAACTTGATATTCCTGATTCATCCAAATTTATATATCAATATTTAGAATAAAACCATTATTGGAATTTTATTGATTTTGTCTAACAATTGCAGAAGGAGCTTCAGAAATTTGTCATCTGCCTTCCCATCCTGAACATGTCTTGCAATCACTTTGTTGATTGGTAGGGGAATCAGAAGGAGAGAAGTCTGTAATTCTATTTTATAAGAATTTCCTTTTATCCAGCTTGAGCCATGAACAAGCAACAGGACTCTGAGTCTGTCTATTTACTTAATAAACTTCTTTAACCAAAAATCTTCTGTCTGGGCAAGAAGGCAATGCTTAGTTGCCAAGTCTGGGAGAACATTTGTGTCATATAAGAACTGTGGAAAAGTGGCTACTCCACATTTTACCTTGTTGAGAGAACAAATTGCAAATGGTGCAGAAGTGGTATTAATTCTACATGCTTGCACCAGTCTTGTACACATTTCTTTACTAGGAAATGCTGTGATTTCCTCCTTCCTATCTTTGCCTAGATGTGGAAGGGATTTCCCATTGCTATGTCAGCCTTTGATGCATCTGACACATCAAATACACGTCAGCCTTTGTGAAGTTGTGGGCTCTTGTTTATTCATGAAAGATTAAAACCAGGGAGATGTCCCCGTGCAGGTTCTCAAAGACAATTCCACACCTATCTTGAATAACTCTGGGTGAAGTACTTGCAGGCCTCTGTGCAAGTGTGTCTAGCAGTAAGAAGGGAGAACCTTGGACTTCCATGTTCCATATGGCATTGACACCTAACCTGTTGCTTAGCCTTGTCTACTTTTATCCATCAATAAAGGAGGAGAATTGTAGTCATTCAGCACAGGGGATATAAAAAGAAAAGTAATTAAACTTACAGGATATGTTTAATATATATCTAGAAAAGCATGTATACTATTTACTGGGACACGTGCCTGTGTACATGTGTAGGTTTGAATCTGTGTTTGTGTAATTTAACAGGTCTTTCTGTGTTGGAAAAGCTAGATATTGTTGATTTCCTGTGGCATGGCATGAAGACAGAGTGGTTGACCTCCTATTATTTTTCAAATATTTAGTCCCCTTTTCTCTGTTTAAGCAAATTAATTCAGAAATATGGCCTTTATATAGTTTGCAATACAATTAGGCTTCTCCCCTATGCAAGCCAAGAGTGAACATTTGCCATGGTTAAACAGCTGACTATAAAATTCTAACATATTAACAGTTAAACCAAATGTAATTATGTATGGCAAATAAATTGCCTAAGCTCACAAATGGTGCTGACCTTGAAGAACAATAACCCTTATTTGCTTCTTAATTTAAACTGGTTTGAATGGACAAGGTTGAGAGGGCATCTGGTAATTTTTTTCCTATCCTGCCCTCCTGCACAACTTGTAGTCTGCCTTGAAAGAGGCAGAGATTTCTGCCAACGTTTCTACTGGAGTTACTATCCTATAGGCAAAGTAGTAAATAAACTTGTGTGCTCCCATCAGTTGCTCTAGTCTGTTCTCTAATTTTGCCTATCCACTAAGGAGTACTTGTAGTAGAAACAGCTACTGCTAGATTCATCAGCCCTATCTCAACTCTAAAACACCCTGAGTATTTTATTTAGAGGTTGATCAATGCAAATAGAAATCCTTCCACCTCGATATCGCTGCTTCTCTGCGTGCTGGAAGACATCCACAAATGTATTGCTGAGTAGCAGTTTTAGGTATCATGGTGGATAGTGTTGAATTTTCTTAGTTTGGGTTTAAATAAATCAAAGGGTTGGCTGTTTGGTTTTCTGTGGGTTTTTTTTTTCTGGTTTTTTTTCCTTCCCTTCAAAAAACAAAGGACAGCTGAGGTCAAGTAGTGGTTTGTTGTAAGCTTGAGTTGAATCAGATTCTGCCTGCCAAAGTCAGGATGGAGTCATTCAGACTTACTCTGATGTTGTAGACAGATAGAGACCTTTTGATTTGCTGATTTTTGACTTCAACAGATCCTTGTCTTAGCTATTGATGCACTTCAAGTGGCAGACAATGTACTCATCTAAACAGCAAATGCCAGTGTAAATGGCTGCATTCCTGAAGTGAAATACTGTCAGGTGCAGCTTTTCCCTCTCTGAAGTCTGGGTGCCTTTAGGCTGCACTTATACTGCTCTTAGGGCTGCACACCTAGGAGTGATCTCCACTTATGTGCATTGCCCCAGTGCAGAAAGGCGCTGTTCTCAGGTGACAGTGAAGGTGTTCATGAAGCACATTTTATGCTCAACGAGAATAAAAATATAGCAACCACTTTCTCACACATGTGCTGGGTACCTTGGCAATATATCAATGATCCAGTTGTTCATCTGTCAGGATGACAAGTGTTACTTGCCTGGCTGGGGGGCGAGTGTCTTTTGTCACATATTTAAAATCATCGCTTGAATTCCCAGGGTCAGAGGTGAACTCAGCTGTGCTAAGACAGGAGCAGCGTGGGACATGGTCAGCTGCTGAGGGTAGAAATTGGCTGATCTCATTTAGACAACCAGGCAGATTGGACAGTATGGGCCTGTGTGGGCCAAAGCACTAGGAAGTGAAACTAGAGTTTACAGATAATAAAATCCAAACACAGAGTTCCCTGGACTTAGTTGGTTGCTACCTTCCCAGAGATATCTGCAAAATTACTTAGAATTTGCAGGAACACAAATTTTTTAAAAGAAAAAAAAATCCACTGTGGGGACAACGGTTTTCCAAGTAGTACAAGATAGAGCATAACAGTGGGAGCTGATACACATTGCATACTGAATGTGTCTTGGACTTTCTGTGCCGTGATTGGGTTTGTCTCTATGAATAAATCTTCAATGCAAAGGAAAGCATAATCACCTTAAGTGTGGGCCCTTTTTCACCTGGGAAAAGACAGTATCTAGGCTGGTTATATACCCTGACTGTGCTGACTTACGTGGCACAAACTAGCATCCTTGCATTGCAGTTGTGTTTCTGACTGCAGTGTGTGGGCTCAGTGATATGGTCACTAGGTTGTAGGCATGCTTCCGTGTCTTTCCTGTTCACTTGCATCCTTTGGTCCCATCCCATCAGAGCTAGCATCCTTTGAAATTCCAATTTCAGTGTCCTGAGATATTGAAAACAACATTGCTGTTATTCACCTACAATCCCCAAATTCCTATATAAAGTCAAAGCCTTTTTGTTTGTTTTTTTTTTTTGGTAGCCACATCATCTTGTGGTCATTGTCACTGTGCAAACTGAGTTGCTGGTGGAAGGCTGGTGCTGCAGAGGCTGGGGGAGATATTTGGGGGACTCCCTGCTTGGTGGCAGCTTGAGTGTGTGTAAATATGAACCAAGCCTGAAATCAGATTCTTGAGGAGAAACCTGAAAACAAAGTGTGGGCTCCAAACCTGTGGCCATTCTTCTCATCTTGCTGCACCTATTTCATAAAACATTGTTTCTATAGTGTTAGTCTGGATGTAGTTTCCACTGGAAAAGAGGATATATTATCCAAAAGTTAGAATAAAATGTAAACATAAATATAAAATTAAAATTTTATAGCTGTGATTTTAATTTAATTGGATTGGGTCCAGCCAAATTTGGTGGAATAGAAGATGAGAGGTAAGGATTGTGTCTAGGGAAGTGGAAATGCAAATATGACCAATTTTCCCATAAATAACATTACAGTATCCAAATCTAATTGCTGTTAACTATAACCTCATTGTGTGAATAATTTTTCATTACTGTGCCAAATCAATCTCAATCAAGATTGATGTGTGAATAATTCAGGCATTACATTTGAATGATGCATGTCCAGATGACAGTTTATAGTGCATGTTTGAGTAAGATAAAGGGCTTTTGAATGTATTTTCAAAGAGTTGATTTAAAATAAACAAAAAACTGAAATTATTATGTAAGTCAGCTACATTTTGTCTTAACTCCTTAGGAAATTTATACATTTCAGTGTGCATAAATAATGGGAGGAAATAATCTAGCTCTATACAAAGTGCTGGCCTTTAAACCGTTGCCACTTTTGAAATTAGTTTTGAGATAATTTGGATCATTCCTTACAAGAGCAATTTACTTCCATAGAGCTACAAACTCATTGTTTGCTTTCCTTGATTATGGACCTTTCTGATGTTCCAACGTTCTCATTCTCCTGCCTTGCATGGAGTCAAAGGATAGAAAAGAGAAAGAGGGTGATGAGGATAATCAGGAGTATGGTATAGCTTTCCTTAGAAAAAGATCAAACAAGCTTGTCTTTGAAAAGGAATAAATAGAGGGGAGTATCATGCATATTGTATAGAAGTGGGAAGAGAAAGAATTAATAACCTGTTTCAAAGTATAAGAATGCACCCTAACCCCACTGAAAACCAGCAGGTTTTAAACCAAGAAAAATTAAAAATACACTCATGGAGTGTGTAACTACATTGCAGAACTTTCTGCTGCAAACTGATTTATAGCTAGAAAAATACAAGGGACCTGAAGTATTGAAAAAAGGGTTTGAAACTTTCACGGAGATTTTTCCATCATTTCCATCACCCCATCTGGTGAGCTCACAAAGTTCTTAAACATCTGTGTAGGAAAGTGTCCTTCCCTGCAGTCTTAACACCTCGTCACTCTCTATGGCTTATTTGCTCTCTTTTAACACATTTTCTGTTGATGGCTACTGATTGTAGGATACTGGGAAGAGGGACACTTATGCAGATACTGGTTAGTGTTAAGCTATTTTCCTTTCTAGTTGAGTATCCTCCGGAACCTGAACCTAAATGGGTCAGGTGAGTAGTGGCTGGGTTTTGAAAATGAAATTAAATACTGGAGGAATTCCTGGCCATGAAACTTCGTGCTTTTAATTAAAAGCAACATAGAGATTTAGGGGTGAAAGTCTACAGCACAGCAGCTGACCCACTGCTACAGAGTTTTCATAGGTTTGTCACTCCTTGTTTTCAAATTAGAGCCGAGGCTGAAAACTGCAATTTTCACTTCTAGGCTCTGGGTAGAATAATGTGTCTTGAAAACATTTTCTTTTGATTTCAGAGAGTCATTAGAGATCTGAGCACATTCTAATCCTCTTATATTTTCCTCATTAGATTTGGATTACTGCAGCCAAGCAAGGGGTGAAAGCTGGCACGTTCTTCTGGTCTATGTAAGTACCTTCTGTTTTCTAGAGATTTTTAACTAATAATTCAGAATTAATTCAATGTTAGTGTTTATTAAGTTTTCCTTTCTCTAAGCATTGAGTAGATTGGAGACTCTACCTGTAACCCTCTATTGTGTTCATTTTTGCAATGTTTCTGATAACTAAAGCTGATGCTACGGTTTGCTGCTTTAGATTCAGGTACTGACTAAACAGTTGTCTAAAGAGAAGATGTGTTACCATGTGAAAAATTACTGTCTTTCATTTTAAAATGTGGGTTTTTTTGCTCCCTTAGTATTGGCAGCAATGTTTCTTAGTCTTCTGAGTGTGGAAGACTCTTATTGTCATCTTATGTCAATTGACATCACCAACTTAACAGTCTGGTTCTTTCATTTTACAATACAGCCTGTCCTTTGAGCAAGATATCCCATTTCCCTTTCCCAAGAGGCAGCCTTGAGGACCTTTGCTGTTTGTTCTCTTGTCTAATGATTGTCTAATCTAATGATTCCAACTTATTTTCCGTTGTCCCCACTAAAATATATCTTCACAACCAAAAATGAATGAATTTTAATAATTTTTGAGGAATTCATGTAGATCAGTGTTTCTGTTACAGTTTCTGGCAGGATTGCAGGAGCAAAGACAATGTTTAAGCTACAAGACTGAAGTAATAAGGGGTTTTGACTATTTTTTCTTGTGATTCCTTTAAAAACAATACATTTTACTGTTTTAAATATCATAAAGTATGTGGAGTGAATAATAAATCACACCCCAAGCTGATGATAGGTTTAGGCTTGCAAGATGAATTCTGACAGAGCTCCACTCCAGTGTTCTGCAAACCAAATAAATTAATGTGATTTCTAAGCTCTGTAGCTACATAGTCTACATAAACACCCTGGCCAATTCATGCTTGGGGATATAGAATGTAAAAAAGGCAGCCAAGGACAGGTTATATGAATGGCTCTAGCAAGGGAGTGAAGCAGCCAATTCATGTATGATTGAAATATAAATGCCTTAAAACGGCATTATTTTGTTCAGTGCACAGAATATATTTGGGAAAATTTTCAGGCAGACTCTTTCAGGAAAACAAGGTTTTCAAAATATTTTAGTCAGAAATGAGTTGTTGAAATAATGGAATTTTTTTCATAGTGCACAATTAATAAAATTATAAAAATTAGATGGTACCCAAAGTTATTATTCCAGTTGAAAATTTTGCCTTGTTTGCAAATTTTAATATCAATTCTCATTTTTATGTTTTTTTTTTTTATAACCAAAAGTTCTCTGTGTAGTTGGAGACTGAGGTCTACTGTTTGTCTACAAGGCATTAAAAACAAAGGTATTTCCAAATGGCTGCTGCCATCTCCATTTCTCTGCCAGTGGTTTCCAAAGAGTGCTGAATTCAGTTCACTGTGGTGACTGATGGTAGTGTTTGATACCTGCCTTGGGATTCTGCTATTGATCTAATGGATTCTGGACTGAGTGTGCCACTGTATTAAAATGACTGTGTGATCACTGACCTGCAGAGCTTTCCTAAAATGAGATATTTGGAATTTTAACTGCTGCTTCTAAGGTTAGTTATTCTCATAGTGTGAACCTGGCCTCAACAGCCGAGTGAGAATGGCCATCACTGTACAAACAGTAAAGGAAGGGTCTGTTCTGCAGGGTGAGAAGTCCCTGTGCTGCTGGCCTGGTGTTTCAGATGGCTCTGTTCTGATTCACACCAGCCTAGCTCTCAGTAGCTGCTGTTAAGGCAATGGAAATTTTCCAGTGTCTGGAAACAGGAAAAAGGACTACCAGAGCAGGGTGTTCTTTTGAATCTGTACTGATGTGAGCAATATAGTGGATTTTAAACATTCCAGCTATCCAGTGGCAACATACTGAAAGTTTAATCTGGGTGAAAGCTGCCAGAATGGATCTTTCATTCATTCCTTAGAAGAGGAGTGAATATTTTTTGTTTATTTTTATTTATTTTTAATAATTTTTTATTCACTCCTGCTTGAAGAGGTAGATTTACTGCATTGAGTTCTGATTACATTTGTGAACTTTTAATCATCTTTCTTGTGAAGTAAGTAGACATTTAGGAGGTCTGATGTGATTCTGTTTGCAAATTAAGAATCAGTTTTAAGCAACAAGGAAGATACAGCATGCTGAAAGCAAGTTATGCTATTATGATACATTATATTAATAATAAATTCTGTCCATTCAAACATTTTGTTGATGTTTTTAGTATTCTGTGATAACAATGTATATCTTTGTATTTTGTGGTCCAGTGTCATCCCCCATGAACGCAGAATATTAACAATACTTCAGTGGTTAACCCTTCCAGACAATGAAAGGTAATTCACTTGTTGTCATCTGCTGTTGGATAACTGCTAGTTTGTCTTCTCTTTATAAGCAGCCTGAAGAGCAAACAAAAATTTAATTCTGAAATTTGTTTTTGTCTGTTACAAGCCATCTCTGATTTAAGGATTTGTTTGGGTTTTGCATTTAGTGTGAGTTCTTTGGGATTTGGGGTTTTTTCCTTTGTCTGATTTGGGTTTTGGGGGTTTTTTCATATCAACTTTTAACCATCAGCAGTTTGATTCTTCCAAAAAAATGTAGGGTATGAATTTATTTTTTATCAAAAAGCATGCAGTTACATGGATTAACTTGGGTTGTTCTTATCCTAATGAGCCTAATATAGTTTAACAACCTTACAGGCAATGGCAGTTGTAGAACTGAACACTGAGCACTAGGAAAATGTTAAGATTTTAATTATGACTGGGTTCTACTACACAAGTTCCCACATGCTGCTGCAAGGCTCAGGCAAGCTGCTGTTGTGATTTCTCCTACAATGTTTAGAATAAGTATGTGTCCTCAGGTGGTACCCCATGTGTCTCCTTGCATGTGTTCTTGTGTCTAATAAAGCTGCAAAACAACTAATCATACCATGGAAACAAAGAACTGCTAATAATTGTAGGATTCTCTGCCTGAGAAACAGTTCTTTTTCCACTGAGCTAAGTCTCACTGGAAAGCTGGCTCGATTTGACTTGACCTGTGTTTTTGTGGTGCTGTCAAAAGAAAGCTAACCTGAACAAGACCTTTCTTTCTTTTAGGCCTTATGTTTATGCCTTCTACTCTGAGCAACCAGATGCTGCTGGCCACAGATATGGTCCTTTCAACTCAGAGGTTAGCACAGATTTATTTTTTACTACAGAAAAAGCAGGTGTCTCTAATACTTTTTTTTTTTCCCAGAAATATTGATGCTGCTCAGGAGTAACATTTTTATCAACTTTTTTTCCCACCTATTTCTGCAGTGTTCTTCACCTCTGTCAGAGAAAAAAAAATTATCTTCTATAGGATTTATCGTGTAAAATTCACTTCTGAGAGAGGGATCTGCTTTAGTGCCTTTCAGGAAGCTATTTCTCAGTGTGATATGATAATGCAAATGGAAAGATTTATTTGGCAAAGACAGGAGTATATTTGTGTGCAACAGCATAATTCAACTTTATATCCTTCTGAAAAGTAATTAAAATATAATACATAAAATATTGAGATAAAATGCAGAGAAGAAAGAAGCTTTCTTAAAAGCTGACAGCCAGCAGTAGCCAAAGTAATAATTCCAGTCTGTCAGGAAATATAAAAGGCTGCTAGTTCCAGTTTCATATAGGCCCTACAGGGGTTCAGAAAGCTTTTCCAATACTGTTCCCTCAGGACCATGCTGTTGAGTTTGGAAAAAGTTTTAAAGCACCATAAGGCATTTTAATGAAAAATTACGTGCAACATGCTGCAGTAGTTTAACCTCTTGTTTGACTTTGTGTAGCTGGCTGGGACTGATGGGTGTTGTTTCCCCTGACAACACTGTCCAGGTGACAAGAACTTAAAGATAATGTACTTGTCAGGGATATGTGGGGAGGGAAAGCAAATGCTGTACTCAAATATCCTGCTTCAAGTGGCTGGGATCTGGCATTTCCAGTGATGTCTGACATCTTGCAAAGGTCCCCTAGTTTCAGTGCAAATGCATGCCTGCAGTTTCCCATCACAAGACATCAAGAGTTTTTAATGTAAGATTTTCAAAGGATAAACAAATGTTTGCAATCTTTAAAAAGTGAGGAGTAAATCAGATGCCTACCCTCTCTGGAAGGCAATGCCGATCTCCTTGAGCAGCCAGGTACCCAGCAGTAGTTTCTTATTTGTTTGGTTTACATCTGGTGGCTGTTCTTGATGGGACAAGAAAGCAAAGAGAAGCAGTGTTAATATTTTTTATTTATCTGGATACAGCCACTTCCTTATGAACAGAATTGTGGAGCTTTTTACATGGACTTAAAAGGGGAATGTTAAGATGGTGACATTGAAAATGTTCTTTAAATTGGGTTGTTTAACAAATCTGCTTAGCATCCAACCAATATGGCAATCTAGTTTCAGGTTAATTACAAGAGTCTAAAAAGTGAAGTATGGCAAAGAGGTCATAACAGGAAAAAACTTTAAAAAAGCAAAAAGCCCCCAAAGGCTCTTCCTGTATGGGGGTTTTTGTGGATGGTCATATGAAGGTTGATCTCTAATTGCAAGGCAAAGCTTCAGCTCTTAATATGTGTGAATTAATATCTTATGAGAGTTTTACAAATAGATAGTTTTATGTCATTTGTATTAAACACAAGAAGACCATGAAATCAATTTTTAGCAAATTGAGAACAGATGAGTTAGCAGAAGAGCATGTCTGGGTTTGCACTTCAAACAGTGGACCAAACTTTGTGAATGGAGATGTAAGTAAACGAATACAGATGTGTAAGTACACAGATGCTGAGGTTTGCTAGGGGCCTGGTTTCGGGATAGAAAAGCTAGAGGAAGTATTTTATATTGTGTCTCTTGACACTGGGTTTCAATATAATTATTAGGAGCTATGAAATTTACATCATCTGGTAGAAAGTCCTCAAAAGGATGCCTTTTAGCTAATTCCTTGATACCAAGAGCATGACTTCCTGTGAAATATATTTTTTCTTGTATATGGCTGCCATCAGTTACACATTTGGAGTATTACTGACCATTTTTCTTCATGCAAAGGCAAATCTACCAAGCAATATGAAATATTTGAAAACAAGCATGTAACAACTCAGCGTTACATTTACAATGGACTTCTTATTTATTTTGAAGAGTGAATATTTCATGCTGATTTTTCTTACTGCAGTTAGTAGTTTGAGGAATAGCTTTTTATCTTGAAAACCTCCAAATCTTTATTAGAATATTTATTTGAGCTTATTATATAAAATAGTATTCTAAATTTATTTTAAATGTACAATCTCAGAGGTCTAATGTCATCAGAAGCCTATGTGCAGAGTGTCTTAAAGCAAGAAGCAAAGAGACTTAGATATACTTAAAATTTATTGGTGAATTGCCTTAGATATACTTAAAATTTATTGGTGAATTGCCAGTGTTTTTTATATAAATGGAATTGATAATATAGCTAGTCTCCACAAGTGTAACTTTGCATATCCACTAGCATGAACTTCAGTGTAAATGAGTTGATTGTCTAGGTTTTGGGGTTTGGTGGGATTTTTTGGTTTGATTTGATTTGGTGGGATTTTTTTTTTTTTTTTTTTGCTTTGGGGTGGGGGTGTTTTGTGTTATTTTTTTGGTTTTTTCTTTAAAAACATTTTAGGAGGTATTTCAGTGGGTTCTGTTATGTTTCCAGGAGCAGTTATGGGAGTTATAAAATATATGCTTGCTTTTAATTTACTTCTGCCTTTTCTTTTTTTTTTCTTTCCTCCTGTGCTTCTGCAGTTGAACTCTGGTAGGTTGGTCCATCCAGGTCAAGAAGCAAAGCTTTGGCTGGCTAGTTACCCTTGTGATGTTAGTTTCCTTCTGTAAGAGGGGAGGGATTCGGTTCCCTCCCCCATAACTCGTTCTGACTCTTCTCAAGCAAGACTAAGAATTGGCTGGTTAATAAGAACTTGGCTTTTTTTTTTTTTTCCCCTGGCTGTTTTTTTAATATAAAATATTCTAGAAATATACTACCATAAGAGCTCTAAAATAAATTGAAGTCTGGCAGCGCTAAGCCATTTCTGCTGCTCCTCTAACATGCTGTCTTGAGACAGTCACTTCAGTGTTCAGACCTGGGTCTCCTGTGCTCGCGTGTTTCTGGCATTGTGGAGCTCTGTCTGAGCCAATTCAGAGACAGTAAAATGAGAATCCTTCCTTTCCCTGCCGCTCCTCTCATCAGGACTGCACAAAGCTTGAAGCGTTTTAAAAACAGAAAACTCTGGTGCTGCTTTATTAAAATGCCTTTCTGGAGAAAGACGAATGAGACTGGACTAGAATCTCCTTTCCAGCTGCTTGCGTTGGAAGCAATGAAACAGCATGGCAGATGGTAACATCCCCTTCTTCCCCTTCCCTGGTTATGGGGCTCTGTAACTCAACAACTGGCAGAAGCTGCCTAAGTACATAGAACTTAAATAGCTTTATAAATGTCCAACTCTCGCCCAGCCCACTCAGCGTGCTCCATTGCAGATTGTGGTTTATCTCCTGCTAGGTGTCACCTGTCAGCTCCTCTCACACCATCTGAGCAGTGCCAAGAGTCTGTGAGTTGTGTTAAAGTCAGTGAGAGTGGGACAGTTTAAGACTACAAGCAGGTTGATTAATGGGACTGTCTATCCTAGGTAACTGTGCATCTAGGAACAATGACATTACCCAGTGAGATGCCACACTGAAGCTGCTAGAAAATTCAATTCTCAAAATGCCCATAAAGCTGGTAATAAGGCAGGTGAGCAGGTAGATTTCTCATGCACTGACACCAGTGTGCCCCACCCAGCTAATCTGAAGGATATGAGCTTCATTTAACTGTGTTTCACCTCTGATTTGCAGACCCCAAATACTGGCAAATGGGGTTTTGGTGACTTCAGTGAGGTGCAGGGTCTGGCACACAGTAGTGGTAGTACTATGGATGAGGGTACTTGATGTCACTAATTCAGCCAAAACGTTGGTGTGGGAAACCTTGCAGAAGTCACTGAGACTGGACAGCCTCTAATACTCATACCTGAACTGTCATTCAAGTGAAATGTTGCATTTCCACCAGTACTCTACCCTGGACACTCATTAAGTTGTGTGCAATTAATTTTGCTGTAATTTAAATTAACTTAAATCTCAATAATACTAGTGAATTAATATTTGATAACTAATATCCCCTATATAACTATGTATTTTCAAACACAGAAGCCCCACCTATCTTTTGAAACACCGATTTAATTTGCTTTTATGCTGTCTGCTCTTGTAACTGCTGTTCTGCTTTTAGTACAATTTGGTGAATTCCTCCTTATAAGGGGAGAGATCCTAAATTGTCCAAAAGCCTAAATATTTGATAAGGTCATAGCATTTATGCTTCAGGATTCTCTGTCACAGGTAGCTTTACTATCTGATGTGAGTTGAGGCAGGCTTTTTTTCTGAGTCCAGACATCTCTCCCTGCCAGTACAGGAGAGTAGTTATGGCTCCCCTCTTACTCCGCCTAAGAGACCTAAGAGAAAGCTTCCTCCTAAGAGGAGACAGGAAAGACCAGTTGCAGCTCCAAAGAAAAGAAGAAAAGTACATAGAGTGGATCAATATTCTACGGAAACTCGTCGGAAGAAAGTAAGTTACAAAAATTTATGATGGAAGTGCCACTTTTTGGGCACTATGCTGTCTTTATTTTTTTCAACTTGGGAGTTCACGCCATGCTTCAGGTTGGGATTTTGCAGCCAAAACTTTTATAAATGTACTGAAGGACCCAGAGGAGAGCAGCCAAACCAGACCAAGCCTGCTGGGACCTGTGTTTTTCTTGTTTCAGACTGTTTGCACTAGGAAGAGTTATCTTTATGATCTCTATATTTTTTAAATCCAGCCATCAGCTGGAGGCAGTGTCAGAAAAATCTCTGGGAAGACACTACCACTGCTGCTAAACTTTCTCAGTTATTACAAGTTCTGCAATATGTTGCAGCCTCCATTAACTTCCAGCTCATGGGAACATGGTGATTATTTGAGGTTTTGTGTCTAGTCCTCATGGTTGTGGAAATGTCCTGAAAAAGAAACTAATAAAATCTAAAAGGGAAAGAACACTTGTTTTCAAAATACACATTTTAAAGTAATTTTGTTACTTTGGAGGGTAAGGAATTTTATTGCTGGATTTCTGAATGTTGTATTTGCAAGAGGTGGTGCGTAAGTCTGTTTTCACAAGGAAAACATCAAATATAAATTGCTTCATTAGGAAAAAGCGCAACTGGATGAAGAGTATTCCTTAGTGTACTGTCTTTATCCACCTGGCACTAACAATCTATATATTTCTCCTTTAAGCTAGAAACAAAAGCCTTTACACTTCACAGTGTCCTAGAAGAGGCTATAAACATTCTTCTCAAGAGGTTTTTTTTTTTTGTGGGAATGTTGACTTGTTGCACAGTTAAACTTCAAAGAGTTATTTTGAGGCACATTATTTAAGTGTAAAAACATGGCAGACAGGGACATGCAAAAAAATCATATATAGACCCCCAGGAATTTCTCAAAGTACTTTTAACATTTTAAGATTTACCTGAGAGGAGAGCTAATTACTGCTATGGATGATACTGCTATGACTCGCTGATTTGCCATTCCAAGCTGACATGAAATAGAGTAGAAATAACATTCCTAGTGACATGAACATATATTGCTCTTTTTTTTGCTTTTCTTTCTCTGAATGAAAAGATGATCTAAACTTACCCCTAAAAAACTTTTTCTGGAAAGTCAACTGTGAAAATTTGACACCATTATTTCAGAAAAAAACCTCTACTATTACGCAGTAGTTGCCATTGTACCTGCAAGTTAATGTTTTGATGCTGTTTGACATCAATAAAATGCAGTACAGGATGCATTCTACCACTTATTAAAACAAATTTAAAAGTAAGATTCTTTCTTCCTTCCTTCTTTCTAATCAGACTTCTATGGGAAAACTTGTGAGAGAAGCCAGGCTTTTTTTTGTATATTTCGGATCCCACACACAGCACTATCACAAGGTTATAAAACTCTTTATTGTAGCATCAACCCAGAGATCTACAAATATTGGAAGATAAAATGGTTCTGCATAGTCTTACAAAGTCTTGATATTAGGTGAAGAAAGGTTTATGCAACAGCTTTATCTGTTTGCCAATAGATCTTTGAGAGTTACATCTGGGGGGAACTGTAAGAGGAAGTCAGATTGCTGAAGAGAGTAGCTAAACAGAACTATGACTTGAAATCTTTGAATTATTGTTGCTCTATCTTTTTATCACCATTATCATTTTTTAAAAGAAAACTTAAGCTTGCTGACTAAAGTAAAAATTAATGGGAACTCTGGATTTCCAGCTTCCTTGAATATGCCTTGGATTCTGAGTAAAAGTTGTATATCCTTATATGATTGACACAATATAAATAGACTTTCATAAAAATTGAATTCCCATTAGTAGAAGCAGCTCTTTGTATTGGAGAGTGAAAGAATGCTGAAACAGACAATTTTCTTTTTTTCCAAACTTGAAGGATTTCAAAGTTTTAACTTGAGTGACTACTTAGGCTTTCCTGAATTAAAAGATTTCAAAATTTCACCCTTTGTCTGAACCACTTCCATATGTTGCAGAAATTGTTCCTCCTGTTCCCCACCGTGATTCCTCCTCCTGTAAGTCCCTCCTCTGTGTATTTATAGTGCCACGTGGGAGTTGACATTTCCTGTCTTGTAACCTAGCAGACTCATTTAACATCTATCCCTTAATGACTCAGGCAGAGGGAGAATTTCTGAACCACCTCTTTCTGGGTCACAGTAACACGGTGTTTATTTTGGAAAATTCTGCCAAAATCTAATTTTCTCTCATCCAGCATTTGTTATCATTCTGTTTGTCATTGGGAGGATTTTTTATTGTGGATACTTGAACCAGCCAAATCAAACAGATAATTGAGGAAGAAGTTGCCATATAGTGACAACAAATGTTTTCTTCTCAAAATCAAAACAAAATGAGTCCTCTGCCTAAAATCTTACTTTTCCCCTCTCTGTGCCATCTGGTAAAAAATATTTCATTTTCTTAAGGCTGAAAACATAGTCCTGCTCTTGCATTTTTCTGATTTTTGTTTGTTTGCTTGTTTGTGGCTTTGTGTTTTGTTTTTTAATGAAAAATAAATTTAAATTAAGAAATCACAGTACAGTATCTGTGTCCTCTGGGGCCTGCTGACAATTTTGCCAGGCCTGTCTTTTGAGTTGTTGGAAACTCTTGGCTTTGAAGCTGAAGAACGCTCCCTCTGAGCCCCATGTGCTACTCAAGTGATGTGCAAGTTGTCATCCTGGCATCAGATGTCCTTTGAAGTGAATTTCTTTAAGTGACTTGGCATGTGAATCCCAAGTCTAAAGCTTCATTTCATGTTCATTTTTTGACTAAGCCATTCACATAAAATACTGTTTTCTTTTAAAAGCACTGCTTTCTATCTCTAAGAAACAAACTGGACCCCAAAGTCACATGTGTTTTTCTGCTGCCTACACATTGTTTTACCAACTGTAGACATGTTCATGGGAGGCCTAGGATCAGCCATAAAGAACTTTGGCTGTCTTGTGTCAGCATCTCAGCAGAGCTTTCTCATGATGAAATCATGGTGTGGATATACAAAAGGAAATGGTATAATAATTGTAGGAGTAACAGCTCAGCCAAGGCTTTGCCTCTTGACCTGGATGATTTTTCCATCAGAGTTTTGCCAAAGGACCCCCATTTGTAGAAGTATGAACACTGCAACTACAGAATAAACTTTTTTTTTTTCCTTCTCAATATTTATACAGATGATGGTGAATCCCCTGAGAGAGATTGACAAGACAGTAGGACAGCTAATGGATGGACTGAAACAGTTGAAACTACATCGATGTGTCAATGTTATATTTGTTGGTGATCATGGTAAATTTTAAACCATAATATTTATCAGAAGATAAATGCTTAAGCAATGTAGCTGTAAATATAATAGGTAACCTAAATCAAAGTTCCATTTAAGATATTTTTGTGCTGATCTTTTTTCTGGTAGTTTAACTCTCCCCAAAAAAGCCAGTTGGTGTGGACTGGCCACTCGGCTCATCTGTTAATTGCCATGGAGGGACACTTTTCTTTCATAACAGTGATCTGGATATTTATTTATTTACTCAGAGCTTTAAAAATCTTGGTGTATCTGATACCACATCCAAATGTAACTCTTATTTGGAGAGCTTTGGAGGGATTTATTTTGCCTAGGGTAATCTTCTTTTCAGTTTTTATGGAATAAAAAATTCAATAGCCTTGTTCTCCTGCACATAAGAACAACAGGACTTGAGACTGAGGCATTTTCATGGCAATTAGTGAGTTAAGTTACCCTATTAGAAGAAAGACTGGAATATCTTTCTTACATCTATGGAATGTAAGACTGTTCCGTTCCCCACTTAGATGGAAAAGTCATCAAAATAATGGAGGAAGGAGGTAAAAAGATATTTCATAGTCAGATGTAGTCACCTAAAAGCACAGATATTATTTGGTCTTATTCCTTCAAACATTAGAATAAACTTGGTGATACAGGAAATAGTAAATATTAGCAAAGATAAAAAGAAAAATAAATTTTGTTAAAGGAAAACCTGGATTTGTATAACTTTTTTAGCAATGCTACCAAAGGTCCTCTTAATTTTGGATCTTTACTCCTGACATTCTCACATGAACTGCTACATCAGCAATAAAATGGCATATGCCTTATTTCTGGCTGTGGGTAGAGAAGGGTAAGGGTCAGGAAGGATTTCTAGGGGTGGCAGTTTTGTGCTGAGAACCTCCTGTGGCTGGCAGTGCATTCCTCCCCACCACAAATATCTGCAAGAGAAAATTGTTTATCTGCGGCTGCCTTAGAACAGACCACCAACAGACAATACCTTTTGTGTGCTATTCCTCTTAAAATCATTTGTTTAAAAGGAAATAATCCTCAAAGCAGTACATTAAACTAGAAACAGACTTTGATTTTTCCATGAGTTTAATTTGGAGTTGAGTCAGTGCACACATGGTGTATGTGGTGACTGTTCCTACAATGCTGAGACTGGTATTTCTCTCACATAGGCACTCCTAGTTTGAGTCCTACCAGTGTATTATGCTGGAATGAGATGGCTGTAAAGTACAAGATTAGTCATCCAAAATGAAGTAATACATAGGGGTCTCCATTTTTTTGCTGTTCTGGAAAATTTGTTTATTTTGAGGGTGGATGAATTTTGCATTTTCTCTCTGCAGGGATGGAAGACACTACTTGTGAAAGAACTGAGTTTTTAAGCAACTATCTGACTAATGTGGATGATATAATTTTGCTGCCTGGATCTCTAGGGCGAATTCGCCCTAGGTCTAGCAATAACCTAAAGTGTAAGTTAATTTAATTGTACTTCTTATATCCTGAGAACTAGACTCTATTCCTTCCTTGAAATAATGCTGCCCAAAGGGTGTAAATTTGGCAGGAATTTCAGAGGGAATCCCACTGAAGACAGTGGATTCCAACTTGCTTCCTTTCCAATCTGTACTTCACAGACCCCACAGTGGTAGAACTGTCAAAGAGAAAGCTTAAATGTCCTGGGTTAAATGCCACTCTTTTATCAAGGAGGAATGGGAATTCCAAGACAGTTCCACATACCAGCTCATGTGTCATTGTGAGTTTATTCATGCACTTTTCATCTCTGTCAACAGAAACCTGTATTTGGGCAATCTCAGCACAGCACAGCTTGGATATTAAAAAAAAAAAAAAGCATCTGGTACATTTTATGAGCTAATAGGAAAAAAGTGACTTGTTAGTTTTGAATTCGGTAGTTTTATCATACTTTTGGCATAGATGAGCAGTCATGTCGGTTGCTAAACAGCAACACACTGGAGATGTTGAAGGATATAAGGAAGGTCAGCACATGCATTGAGGGCCAATGTTGTCAGTAAAATTTGTTGCTATTTTGAACCATGCTTTTAGAAGTTTGCCCTGACTTAGTGTTTGAGATTAACTGATCTGTGACAGTAACTCTCAGGGCTCAGGCAGGAGTCCTCTGGTGAAACTAACTGAAATTCAAGCATTACACCAGCTGCCCTCCTTTTGCCTCCAGGGCAGCAGTACCAGGACAGGGCTTGTGCCAGCACCCTGACTGCTCTAGTTCAGCATTCAAGGGCAAACCTAGCTTTGCCAGCAGTTTAAACTAGCATGCAAACTGCTTTACTCATAAATAAACCATCGGTACCTGTGTTTTTTTGTACCATATGCTTCCAAGAGTGACAACTTTTGATAGAGAGGAAGATCAGATAGCTGGGATAGCCAACTCTTCCATCATAACATTTCAGATGTGCTCTGGGTGAGGACAAATTTCATAGAAAGATCCATCTTTGAAGTTTAAATACTTCCAGAATAATAGCAAAAATCATAAGGATGTGGTAAAACACCCTTAATTGATTTGTGTATGCATTTATTTTACTATAAACTTTTTTACCTGGGCATTTATGCTCGAGGAATATATGATGAGTGTGTAAAGATTTGTTGAAAATAGTGCACATGTTGTTCAAATTTTATAGACTAGCATGAGACTGGATTCCTACAGTCTGCAGTCTACTGAGAACAAATATCAGTTCTGAGAAGTTTTTTGGTTTTTTTTTTTAAAGATATTTCAATCCTTGTATTCCCAGATTGCTGAGAAAAATAAGTTTTCCTTAGAGAATGAATGACAATATGTTTCAAAAAGATTGGCTTGTCTGTCTGACCTCTGAGTCATACCATTGGTTTTCCCACAATAGCATTTTCTTCTTTTGGCCTCTGTCTGCAGCTTCCTAGTTTGAATATTTGCAATTGCTTATAAATCAGCAGTTTGAATGTAGAACAAAGAAGCATGTTTCTTACCTTTAGAACTGGGGTTTCATATCCTTAAATGGAAAATTACCAAATTCTTTATTCTTTATTGTTCCATAATACTGTCTCAATATTGCAAACACACCTGTGCAATGCAAAAGTCTGCAGCTTGTGTTTTGAGATGCTACAGAACCCATTTCAAGCTTGGCAAGATCATGCCTTAAGCAACCAAAACAATAGTATTTGAACAAGAGATTTTCAATTCCCAAAATATTCTATTAGTTTATTTTCCCTCTCATAACTGAAAAATGTTTCCGCCATCCCCCAGAAGAACATAGTTGCTATGGATTGTTACTGGGTTTAGGCTTTCTACATCTTGCACATCCCTTTAATAGCCCAAAGAAAGATCCAGAATATTTTAATGTGGCTTTCCACTTACTCAGCATGGCCTATGCAATCAGTCAAATGTTAACAGTGACCAAAAAATGCTACATATATATCTTGCTCCTTCTAACAGAGTGCATTGTTGCATTCAAGTGTGCTCTCAAAATTTTTCAAGGAAAGTCATTTTGTTTGGGGATAATTTTTTATTTTAAAGCAAAACAGCCAAAAGTCTTTAAAATATGTGTTTGCAGAAAACAAAATAAGCATTAAGCTAAGGTTCAGATTATAAAACAGTGAAGACAGTACCTGAGCAACTACATGTCACCAAGCCATCACATATGCAGAACAGCCAGGGGATCAGGCCCATCCAGCATGGGTTTAAGGAAGTCAGGTCCTGCTTGACCAACATGATCTCCTAAGACAGGATGACCTGCTCATGTGGAAAATGTTTACCTGGACTTTTGCAAAGTCTTTGATATTGTCTCCTACACAATTCTCTTGGAGAAACTGGAAGCCTGTGGCTTGGACAGGTGCACCCTTCAGTGGGTAAAAAACTGTCTTGATGGCTGGGCCCAGAGTGTTCCCCAGGGAACAGTATCAGGGCCAGTTCTGTTTAACATCTATATTGATGATCTGAACGAGAGGATCAAGTGCACCCTGAATCTGTTTGCAGACAACACCAAGCTGGGCATGAGTGTTGATCCACTGGAGGGTAGGAGAGCTCTGCAGAAGGATCTGGACAAGCTAGGTCTGTGGGCCAAGGCCAGTGGTGTGATGTTCAACAAGACCAGGTCCTGGGTCCTGCACTGGTGTCACAACAGCCCCCTGCAGCACTGCAGGCTGGGGAACGGTGGCTGGAAAGCTGCCCTTGGAAAAGGCCCTGGGGGTGCTGGTCAACAGTGGCTGAACATGAGGCAGTGTGTGCCCAGCTGGCCAAGAAGGCCAATGGCATCCTGGCCTGGATCAGGAACAGTGTGACCAGCAGGAGCAGGGATTGTCTCTCTGTATTTGGCATTGGTGAGGCCACAGAACAAATCTTGGATACATGTTTGGGCCCTTCACTCAAAAAAGGACATTGAGGCAGTGGGTGAAGAGAAGGGCAATGGAGCTGGTGAAGGGTATGCCTGAAGCACAAGTCTTAATGAGGAGTGGCTGAGGGAGCTGGGGGTGTTTAGCCTGGCGAAAAGGAGACTTTGGGGAGACCTTGTTCCTCTCTACAGCTCCCTGAAAGGAGGCTGTGGCCAGGTGAGGATCAGTTTCTTCTGCCAGGTAACAACTGACAGGACAAGAGGAAAAGTCCTCAGGTTGCACCAGGGGAGGTTCAGATTGGATATTACGAAAAAATTTCTTTATGAAAAGGGTGGTCAAGCACTAGAGCAGGCCACCCAGGGAAGTGGTGGAGTCACCATCCCTGGAGGTGTTCAAAGACGGTGCACTCAGGTACATGGTTTAGTGACAGACTTGGCAGTGCTGGATTAATGGTTAGACTTAATCTTAAAGGTCTTTTCCAACCCAAATGATTCTGTGATTCTATGATATACACAAAACACTTTTAGTAAAGGTCAGGAAAGTATTAGGAAGTATGCTTATTTAAGCCTTGTCTTTTCTTTTGCAAATTTTTAATATTTTCTTTTTTTTTTTTTTTTTTCTTTGCTTAACAGATGACCCTAAAGTGATTGTTGCCAACCTTACAGTAAGTGTTTAGGACTGGGAGGTATCTGTCTATACTTCACTGTTCACTTCTCGATTGAAGCTCTATTCAGCTTTCTTTTCTCACTCTTTAGACAGGAAAATCAACCAACCATTATTATAAATAAAGAATGTTAAATGGTGCCCTTCATGAGCACAGATTAATGTTTGTCATGTTTTCCACTGTTTGCTGCTCCACTAGCTTTTAATAACCTTTTTGGGCAGAGACAGAATCTCCTGAACTGTCTTTACTCCCTGAATTGAGTCTGTTTATTCATGACTTCAGAACTGGAAAGGTAATATTTTAGGGTAAACATTTTACTACACTTTGAAAATGCTGAAAAGCTGCATTTGATAGCCTTCAATTCTAATCTTCCATTCATGGAAGAAAAGTGCTTAAAATTAAAGAAACCCAAAAAAACCAAACCCCCCCAAGTTTTGTAACCAGATTGCTTTAAATATATCTGCAGATGAGGTGTATTTTTTGAGCATTCAGGTTTCTGCTGAAATGCAGAAGCTTTGGTCCAGTTAGAATAAAATTCTTCATCTGTGAACTAAGTACGTGTGATATTTTGTTTGATAGTTTCATAAAGGCTGCCACAAGAATGAACCTTTCCAAATATATCTTTGAATGGCTCCCTGGGCCTTGGCTGCATGTAAATACTGCACAGAAATGACTGGACTACATACTCTAGATGTACACTTTGTTTTCCAGACACCATCAGTGATGACCTTAACAGCTTGATTTCTGTAGTCAAAGGTTTTATGTGCATCTTAAGCTAACTGACAGTGTGCTATTTGTAACCATTTATTTTTCAGTGTCGAAAGCCTGACCAGCACTTCAAGCCTTACCTGAAACAGCACCTGCCTAAACGCTTGCACTATGCTAACAACCGAAGAATTGAGGATGTCCATTTACTGGTGGATCGCAAATGGCACGTGGCAAGGTAAACCTTTGCTTTTGCTTCCATCCTGATTTTCAGTTTTTTCTTCTGAGGAAATGGGATGCCTAGGATTGCTCTGTCTGTTAGCATCCTGATCCTCTACTCTGAGCAAGAGGAAATTAGAGAACACGAAATATTTTCAAGTGTGGGAAAATCAGTTGCTGGATAAAAGGGAGAAACCCAGACTGATTTGCTCAAGCAGCTTGGTGGTTTTGACTGATTAGCTCAAATGAAGATGTTGCTAAATCTTTCTAATGAGGTGCAAGCTTAGTCCAACAGGGAAGCAGGGAGGAAGGGGCAGGTTTATGTGGTGAGGATATGTTAGGGAACAAGAGTTTGAGTGGATGCAATAGGTGAATGGAAAGAAAATGGAGATATTGGCAGAGTGGATGTCTCAGAATATGTGGAAGAATGTGAGAGAGTGGCCATCAAAGTGCTGTGCTGGCAGTGTATTGCGTTTCAGAACAAATCCACAGAGAGCCAGGATGATATAGCTCAGGCAAGAACTCTGGTTTGGCTTGCTCTTAGCCATATGACTCTGAATTTTTGGTTATAGAATATGGGCAGTGTTTATTAGTTAGCTAAAAATTGACTGAGGAAAAACTAGTTGGCACATACACCCATAGAGTGAACAGGAGAGGAGTAGCCTTTGTTTATGGATTGTGCATGGCTTTCTATTGAATATACTTTGACACGTGTTGTGTATTACAGTATGAGAATGGTGGGGTTTTTTTGCATGAATCTGACTCAGTGATTCTTGGAAGATGACACAGCTCTTGGCTCATGGTAGATTGTTATGAGCTTTAAATTATGGTAGGGTTTTCTGCCCATATAGCTGCCAGGCAAACACACAGTGTGTTGTAAGTGCCTTCTGACATCTGTGCTTATCTTTCCATGAATTATGCAAGGATCACTCTGCCGAAGCAGTGAATGAGAAACCCCATTTGCTTTCTTGCATAACTCCACTGGCTGCTGGCAGGCTGCCCTGTGGCTGGGGTTACATATATTTCAAAGAATCATACTCTGAATTTTGGGTCTATAAAAGCTTTAGTTTTAAGAATTTTACTGGAATGGATGGGATTGCCCAGGTGGATTTGCATTTAGTAATTTCTTATTAATTGCATCAGTCTTTCTTTGGCTTACTTATTAATTTTCAGAGATCTCATTCACCAGTAATTCATTCATTAGTGCAATTGTAGTTGGACCTTACAGGAAAATGGTAGCTGCAGCCCTAATTGCTGTAACTCTAGTAATTTATAGGGCCAAAATCAAACTTTAAGCATTATTTTATTGCAGATGAAGAAATTAATTTGTAGGATTATGTGGTCCTCTATATGTATTCCCTGCACACAGCCCCATAAAACTGTACAGAAGTACTCTGAAATAAGCTGGTGATTATAATTCCTATGACACAATACTTACTTTCCCACATATTTTGTAAAAAAACCCATCTCAATAACAAGCTGATAATTAGCATTCTTATGGTACAGCACTTATATTTGCAGCTACTTGTCTTCATGAAAATCTCTCTTTTTTCAGCTTTTTTTTCCTGCTACCCATTTTGTTTATTGGGCTGAAGGCAAACAGGAAAGCACTTTATAGCATTGTACGACATTTGCGGCATTGTAGCATCCCAAAAATGCTTTCTGAACAGCCTCTGCTGGCCTTTTGAGGATTAGAAGGGTATGGTCCAACACTTCCAGTCCGCAGGAGATTGTGATATGAGAAAATCTGAGAAAATAATAGTTACTAAGGTTTTTATCAATAATAAGAGTTGTTTCTTAGAGTGGGACTAGAGGGAGAAACCCAGGGGATGCTGTATAAGCCTGCAAGTGCCTACTAATGCTACTCATGAAAGATAAATAATGTATTGCCCTGTAACCTTATCCTTCCTCCTGAAGGATATTATCAGGTCAGCCACCTTTGAGAAAAATTTCTAATACTTTTTCAATTTAGGAAAGCCATGGATGTTTACAAGAAACCAACAGGAAAATGTTTCTTTCATGGAGACCATGGCTATGACAACAAGATAAACAGCATGCAGGTATGGGCAATGTCTGGGAGGGTCATTGAAGGTCTCTGAAATGTAAATTTTCACTGAAAACCCCCTAAATTTTAATGTTGTTCTTTCATATTCTTTTTCTTCTTTTTTTTTTTTTTTTTAAGACTGTCTTTATAGGTTATGGCCCTACCTTCAAGTACAAGACCAAAGTGCCGCCTTTTGAAAATATTGAACTTTACAACGTCATGTGTGGTAAGATGCCTGCTTGAGAAATTGTAAAATCAGCAACTTATTTTACCAGGGTTTCATTTAGGTACCCATGAGCTTTTGTCCTGACTTTCTCTCAGAGTGTTTTTTTGTCCTAGTCCCCCTTTCCCAAGCACTTGCTAGGAGAGCTGAAGATACTTCTCAGAGGTCTCAATTTGCTCTGGAGCTGACCAGTAAAGGGGGTTGCTATAGTTTTGATGTTTGCAGCTTGACAGAGCTCAAAATGTATGGTGTCCACATCTCAGCTGTTTAGGAAGAGATTCAGAGACTGCTTCTGTATCTGCATGTTTCATGCAGCAGTTCAGGTTGATCACTTTTTCTATGGCATTTCCTGGTATGATTATGTTTCTTGAATTTGTAACAAAGCCATGAAGAAGAATCTGATGATGTGTACAGATATTATTAGGGTCTTTTCTTTAGTACTGATTTTCTAGAACGATCAAACTTTCAAGGTGTAATTCACAATAAAACTTTAAAGTGTTTCAAAGACGTAATTCACTTTTTTTTCCCCAAACATGTAATACCTAAGGGGTAGTTAGCCTTAGTTAGAAATCACTGTGTTGCAGGTTTGGTGTGAGGTCAGCACATTGACTGTAGGTTTGTACTGGAAGCTGAAGGAGTAGTCATAATAAAACTGTCTAGTTTTATTGTCCAGTTTTAAACTTTTCCAGTTTCTTGATGCAAATTAACATTTTGTCATAACGGCAAAGATACTATTCATGTGGCATTTACAAATTTGTGATTTGGACAAAAAAAAATCAGTGTTTTATTACATTAAAAGCTTTCACTAACATGGTGTGGGTGTAAACAGTATTACTAATAAATGTGTTGGCTTGATAGAGTTGCTGCATGAATACATGTTTGGAGTCTAACCACCATTCATTTTCCCTTGGTGGTTTCATAGACCTGCTTGGATTAAAGCCTGCTCCCAATAATGGCACCCACGGAAGCTTAAATCACCTGCTGAGAGCCAATGTTTATAAACCAACTGTGCCAGATGAAGTTGCTAAACCACTGTATCCTGTAGCTCTACCTTCTGCATCAGATTTTGATATAGGATGTACATGTGATGACAAGGTAGGTGTTTAGGATCTGTGGAAGCTCCACTATTAGCAGTAGTTTTGGTAAAGTTGTAGCCATTTTATTTGTTTTGAGAGGGTTTGATCAGTAAGAATTCCCCAGGTCTCTCCTCTGAAGTCTTTGTGCCCCCTTGGAAAAATTAACATTTTTTGTAAAAGAGGAGACAAGAAAATCCTCACTGTCATGTAGAACTAGTTTTGTTTTGTTAGATGCTAGTAAAATGAGATGTCAGAGTGCTCCAGTAGTCTTAATCTCATTCCTTTTTTTTCTGTTCTTGAGAAGAACAAGTTGGATGAACTCAACAAGCGCTTTCATGTCAAGGGAACAGAAGGTAAGAGCCTGGTGCCTCAGTTAATGAAAGCTGATTTAATATTCTTTTGTAAATTAGCAGCATTAATACCAGAGCAACTCCTGGTGTAGTTTAGTTAATGTGTGGCAAACTGTCTTTTTGAGTAACTGTCAAAGTAGCCCACAGACACACATGAGATTCGTGGGCAAGATAAAGTGCTGCTCACTTGAGAAAGTACACACTACCTTTTGCTGAACCAAGACTAAAATATTGTTCAAAGGGATGTGAGTTTTAACTCTTCCATTCCATCACCTCTAGAAGTTTTAAGCTCAGATGTGAAGGCAGAGAAAAGAGGAAAGGAGAGGGTGCCTGAGGCAGTACTCTGTTGAGGCTGTAAATGGGGAACACACCAGACTGTATTTGCGTGCTGGGTTTTACCATAGTTATCCAGGCTTAGGTTTCACCTAGAAAGGATAATACAGCTGCTTTGACAATCCCTGACTAAGTCTTGGCTCTTAGTGTTCAGGTTACACAAGCTCTCTGCTAGTTCAGGCTACTCAGTGCAATTTTTTTCCTCTTCAGTGTTCAAGTCAATGTTTCTCCCAGGAGAAAGCATTCCCAGCTCTCCTGGACACCAGTTCCTGCTGTGTGCCAGCACTGACTTCTGTATGCACTGGGCTGCATCAGGGCCATGGTCCAGGTTAAAGTGGAGCAACAGGAGCAGAGGAGAGGGGATGGGAACTGCTTTTCTAAGCAGCACTACTGACTGAAAGGCTCACCAAAGCAGAGTTTTCCTTCTCACAGTGGTGATCGAGTTCAGCATAACAATTCACAGCATTTCCCTTACCATAACAACTGCCCAAATTAGCAAATTCTGAAGCTTTCCGTTTAGACGTGGATTTTTGAGGTACCTCAAACTGCATTGTTCAGATGATTAAGGAGATTTGTTTTAATTCCATTATTAAGGTATTTTCAGTTTCTCTGTTGTGAGATGCAATAGCAATAGGATAGCTATTGCATAGCAATGCAGGCTATCCTTTAGTTTCTAAAGGTGACCTTATTCCTCTTCTTTGTAAGTTAAATTGCCTTTCTGCAGCTTTCATCTTGTTCAACTGATTTTCCCAATTAATGAAGAGGTACTCCTCCCTCTGGCAATTTATGGCATTAGGAAAAAGCACCCTCACTGTTACAGTTCAAATCTCAGCATCTTTATTTTGGTTTCTGGTTTTCATTCTTCTTCACTGTAGTAATATAAAATAGTATTTTTGGTGTATTTTAAGATGTAAGCATTTAAACCAATTGCACTTGCTCATTTGTCAGTTCTGTGTTTAATGGCATGATGTGTCCCTATTTAAACAAGTTCTGCTTCATTCAAGTTTTGTTTCACTTCAGGGTGCACTTTACAACACAGTGCACCATGTTGTTATCCACAGACAGAAGATGACTTCAGCTTCTCTTGAATAAAGCAAATTTATCATCTTTGTCCTTAGACTGGGCCTTTCCTACTTTTTTCCTTGTGCCCTATAAAAGCATCTTCTGTTTGTACTCAAGCATTAATAAAACATGCCCTTTTCTTCCAGGTTAAATACTTATCTAGGAACTGTGTTAGGCCACTTTCCTCGTTTCTATATTTTAATTTCCAAAACCAAGCTAACTGTGTTTGTCAAAATGTTATCAAATTCAATGGACTGTACAGGACAATGCAAGATTATCCAGGAAATTTCGTTTTCTTCTATCTCTTTCAATGTTTTTGTCTTTTTATAAACAAGTTTGTCAGAGTTATCTGAGGACATTTAACCATAATGTATCACCAAGACAGAAGAAGGGCTGTTTTTACAGAGCTGGAGGCATCTTTTTGTAGCCAAAGTTAGGAAAAGGTTATTTTCTTAGTTTGTTTCTTTGATATTGCTGACAAAAAATAGCACATCAGTCTTCAGAACAAATCTGTATCAGCCAAGTGGAAAAAACTACTCTTTGAGTGAGCGACCACTTTTGCTTCCCTTTTGAGACAGTATTTAGAGAAAACAGGAAGGAGAGAAAGTCTACTAAAGAGTGTCAGGACTGATAGATTAGGGACTGATTTAAGCTATGAAAAGAAAATGCTTATCTCCTCATGTGTGACTGAGATGTGGACACAAAGATCGTTGATGAGTTTCCAGTTTTTGGAAAAACACCCTCTCTCCACCCTGTGACACAAACAAGCTTTCAAGTGTAGAAGGGACTTCTAATCCCAAAGCATGTTTGTGAGCCTGGAAAGGGGATTGCAGCCAGAATAGTTGAACAGTTGTTTTTTCTCTCTCTGCCAAAAGATTTTCTTCATAGTTATTCGTGGTCAGTGTCCCATTAATGATCACTGAAAAATCAACACCTGATGGAAAGCTAATTCCCCTCCCCTTTTTTTTTCATCCTTAAGACTTTCAGTAGTAAATATAAATGTAATTTCTTTTGATCTTTAGAGAAGCATCTTTTATATGGACGCCCTGCAGTACTGTACCGCACAAAATACAATATCCTGCATCACCACGACTTTGAAAGTGGCTACAGTGAAACATTCCTGATGCCTCTCTGGACATCCTACACTATTTCCAAACAGGTTAGTGTTCTCTCTACTCTTGAAATGTGCTTTAAAAGTCTTGGGGGAACTTTTTTGGTATCTGTGTTCTTGAAGTCTTAAAATTTCCTTTCCCCAGGGAGATTTTCCCATCAGAAATTATGTCAAGTACCATTGTAAACAGTGCCCAAATTGTTTTATTTCCTTCTTTAGAAGAATTTTAAGGTGGAAGGATTGTATATTTCTTCTCCTGTTTTAATTTTTTTTAAAAACTTTGTTCATTGGGGATTTGCTTTATTATGAGCAACTTCATTTGAATTATTTCCCATGGGGATTTCTGTTCCCTGAGGAAGGGGCTGTGCAGCAATGCAGGAGCAGGATTTGGTTGTAGAGTCAAGTGGTTTATTTTACTGCACACAGGGCCTTCTGTGTAGTCTGTCAATTGTATGACCTAGTTTCCTTTCATCTGTAAAAGCTGAAATGACATTTTTTTTGTTGTCTCCATGTTCCTCAATGCAGGCAGAGGTATCAGGTGTCCCAGAACACCTGGCCAGCTGTGTGAGGCCTGACCTCCGCATTTCTCCAGGAAACAGCCAGAGCTGCACTGCCTACAGAGGCGACAAACAGCTCTCCTATGGATTCCTTTTCCCTCCTCGTAAGTTTAAAGAGCTTTTTAGTACCTAAGGATTTTGTAATTTTCTTGTTTTGTTAGGGAAAACCTTTAGTGTGAACATACTCCAGGCAAATCTCATCAGATATAAACAGAGTGATTTTGATTTCAAACACCAGTAAGATAAACACAATTTTTTATTTATAAATCCAAATTTTATTAGACTCTTGCATACTGTAAAAGTTTCTACCATCCTGTAGAAATAGTGATAGTAGAAAGCCTGTGTAAACTAGCATCCTCAGTTCTCCTGATGTACTTGCTTTGCTTCAGTGTTGGATAAATGATCTGGGATTGGTAAATGTTGAAGGGGAACAACTGTTCACAGTTGTGAACTTCATTGCTCTGCCTTCCTCACTAAGTGGCTGAAATATTTTATGGTGGATTTCTGAAATGGAATAGTAGTGCAGAGGTTTGCTCAGAACTAGAAGATAATTCCATGCTCCTCTCCCAAGAAATTGTTGGTGTCTTTTATAAAAGCATGCAGAGCTTTCTGCCTTTTAAGACAGCAAAAACAGATAAGCTATATGAAAATATTTTGAACTGAGTGACAGTTGAAGCAAAGATAAAATTTTTCCTTTCCATATTCAGCTGTTACATTAAAGACAAATTTTGTGTACGTAGTGTGCTCTTCTAAATATAGCATTCAGATTGCTGTTTAGATTATGGTCTTCCCTTTGGTTAATCTCTTAAGCCATTTTCAAACATTTTTATATTCTCTGAAATTCTTATATTTCATCTTATTAATATTTTTCTCTTTCCCTATTTTCAGAATTAAGTTCCTCTGCAGAAGCAAAATACGATGCCTTTCTAATAACAAATATCATTCCAATGTATCCTGCCTTCAAAAGTAAGTGCTTTTTCCATGACTGTACTTCTCTTTACCAGCAAGTTTTTTTGTTTTTTTTAACTTTGTGTTGGATTATGGAATGAATTGACAGGAGAAGTTTAGAACATAAAATTCAGTTACCTGTAGCCAGCAGCTAATAACCTGTGAGCACCTGTATAGTGCTAGGTATGGGCAGGCAAAATATCACAAGAAAAGCTTAAGTTTTAAGAAAGGTTTATTTTCCTTGGTGCACAGCCATGCTGTAGGTCCACAGCTGTGCTTTATGCCACAGTAATTCACTTTCTATAAGACCCTGCAGATTCTCTTGTCTGTAGCCCAAGCTAGTGCAGAACATACTTAGGCAGCAACTGGAGCCTGAGAGTGTGCACAAGCCTGGGAGTGTACCCTTGGTCTTTTGTAGTTCAGGGACAAGTGATTATGTTTTATTTTTCTCTCTGTGCCCTTAGAGGGAGAATGAATATATTTATTACCTATAAAGAAAATAGAAGAGAAAACCAATTTATGGAAAATGAGGGATGATTTAAACCTGTCTGAAACTTTCAGTGCTGCAGGGTTATATTACTAACATTTCTTTTGTCTACACATCCCTTTTCTCTCTAGTCTTGCCAAGAGGTAGGAAAACCATCAGGCTATTCTGGTGGCATTTTTGGTTTGGCAGGGATTGACAAGCCTTGGAAGAATCTCAAGAGCCTGTTGTGAGATTTCCAATTCAGATTTTAGGCCAGAGAGGTTTGGATAAACATCAAAGTCTATGGGAGTCTTTTTCTTCTTAACCAGAAAAGAGTGTTTTGAACTGAAAAACCTCTGTGTAGGACCAAGTAGTGATGTTTGCTGGAAATTTGAGCAAAAGCATTTGACTGATTAAAGAGTGAAAAATTATTGGGGATTTCCCACTCCTGAATCACTTTGTAAAAATACTCTTAATGGTAATGTTAATCTAAGTATTTGGCTGAAATGCTAATCACAGGAGAACAACCCACCTCTAGCAGCTCATTTTGTCTAGTGGCCTTCTTCATCACGCGTGGGTGAAGGATCCTTACAAAAAATTTCTGGTACTAATGTCATTCCTGGGGAATTACAAACTACTCCATGTGTGCAGGTTGCAGTGCTGAGAGCCAAGTGTATGCTCACTGCATGGATCTTATTCCATAAGAGGTTAAATAGGAGGTGGCAGTCTAATGCTGCACTGGCTTTGGTGGTAATGCTGGCTGCAGAGGCCCCCTCCTCTGCTTTGTGTTTATAATTCACTGTCCCATCCCATCCCCACTGGCAATAATTCTGTGTCCACCTTTTCCATTGTGAGATTGGCTTAAGCAGCTCCTGCTTTGCTGGAGCTCCAAAAATGATACCCCTGGGCTGGCCCCTCGTTGCCCTGGCGTTGCTCTGTATGTGGTTGCAGTGGGAAGTGGAGCTTGGATCTGATTTAGATACAAAATTTAGGCAGTGAGGCAAGAGGGAATCTTTGCTTTTTAGACTGTTTTTATTGTTAAGGCATATGCACTGGAGGGGTGAGCAGCTGGAGGAGTGGTATTGCCAAGTTACTAGGCTGAGGTTCTTGTTAGACCGCTGCTGGTGGGGCCCTGGGCATCAGCCCCAGCTGGGACTGCATGTGACACTGAGCAATCTTAGAACAAGGTCACAAGGGGGCTTTCTAAGGCTGTCCTTGCTACCAGCTCCAGGGAACCATGGACCTAATGGTCTGAGCTGGCAAGACAAGTGTTAGTCTTGCAAGTCTGACAAGTTTTGTTTGCCCACACCGCTGTAGGTTAAAATAAAGAGGAAAAGAAGAACTAAAAGTATGATATCACTGGAGGTTTGAGGACATGGTGGGAGAAAGTGTATCATGATGTTTCCAAAGTTGCTGTAATGACATGACTTTGGTCATCCTTGATGGCACTTAGTTTAAAAGTTAAACGTTTTGTATTGAAGGAGAATTTAACTGAATGAATACAACCTTTGTATTTCTCTTTCTTTTAAAATGTTTGGTTTTAGCTTTTAATTATGGTACTTTATCCTTTTAAACAAAGACGAAGGCAGTGTTTAAAGAGATATCAAAAACCTGTAAATAGCTGTTTCTACAGCTTGGTGAAGGAACAGCGGAATCTCTGTGCAAGATCTATGGCAATGCCAGCCTGGGAGTGGTACCATGTATTTCTTTTATCACTGGTTGGAGAAAAAAATCAACAGAGAACAAAGTCTGAATAGGCTTTATTGACAAAAGTGAATGAAGCTGCAGTAACTCTGTAATGCTTAGTCTTTGATTTCTCCTACTGTCATATGAATAATATGCTCTGGATTTTTATCTTCAGAAAGAAAAAACTTCATAATTTTGACATGTTTTGACTTATCCAAATGTTAGTATGTTGTGGAATTTTTGTTTGGTTCTTTTTTTTTTTTTTTTGGTTTGGGGTTTTGTTATTACTTTTGGTTGATTGGTTGGTTTGGGTTTTTTATTGCCACAGAGGTATGGAACTATTTCCAAAGGATTTTGGTGAAGAGATATGCCACTGAACGAAATGGAGTCAATGTTATAAGTGGACCAATCTTTGACTATGACTATGATGGTTTACATGACACACCCGACAAAATAAAACAGTAAGAGTTTGTCTGTACATTGGTTTGCTGTTGCTTCTCTTAATGATGACTTTATCTTAAACAGTTAATTACCTGCACATTATTTAATTTTTTTGTGAGGAGACATAATTTTCTAGCTCTTTCTAAAGTTACTGGGGCTTAATGCTCATGTAGGTAGGACAGTGGTAAAAATAAGGAAATTATAATTCAACAGTTAATTGCTCACCTTTACTTTGAAATTTTCATCCTTGAGACAAAGTTGAATTCGGTTCCACATAGTCTATTGTCTCTAAAATTCTCCAGAACTTAAGAGCTGTGCTGTTGAGTTACATGCTCAAGGCTTTTGTTAATTCAGTACTGCATTCTCTGTGTTTCTGAACTGAAGAAGCCTTTCAGCACTGCATGAGGTATTTCTGTAGCACAGTGTGTGCTAATTGGATGCTCGCTTTCGAGAGTGTTCAGGAATCAAACACATCTCAACAATGTATGTGTGTCCTCACACGTAGGAAAGGAAAGACCATGTTGTTTGTGTAACCTTCTTCCTGACTAGTTCATCCTTTGTGGATAAATATTTGCTCTATTCCCCCAGGTTTGTGGAAGGCAGTGCAATCCCTGTTCCAACGCATTACTATGCCATCATAACCAGCTGCTTAGATTTCACTCAGCCAGCCGACAAGTGTGATGGACCACTTTCTGTTCTCTCATACATCCTTCCCCACCGGCCTGACAATGATGAGAGCTGCAATGTAAGTTCAGCTGCACTACTGCAGCCCTGTGGTAAACATGTCCCTGTGAAAACCCATTACTATTAGAGGCAATTGTTCACTAATGTCTTGAAAAGGAAGCACAGGGTAGTGCTTCTGTTAAGAGTCATTAACTCATTAGACAAAGCACTCCTCCATGATAGCAGTAGAAATACGGATCTGTTACTGCACCTAAAATTGTCTGAAAGAACTGACATGCTGTAGGTTGCCAGTATTGTTTTTTGCCTGTAGGATTTTACTTTTTGTCAGTGTAACTTCAGAGCAGACTGGGGGGAGGCTGTATGTATAAACATACTGTGCTGGCAGCCAGCCTGATATTTTTATGGAGGTCAGTTTCCATTTGCAGGTACAATGCAATCTGTCTGCTACGGCAGTCTGGGTGCATCAGTCAGCATGATTACGTCCAACCCACACAGTATTAAACGTATATACTATAACCTGCCAAGGGTAAAATGCCAATTCTTGCTGTTTCCAGAACACCTTGATTCAAGGGAAAAGTTTGGCTTCTTATTACAGAGATGGCCAAATACCCTTCTAGTTTCTTTTCTATCTGCCCTTAGGATGCAAGATCATCTGCTGTAAGAATCTTGGTGAAGGCTTTGGTCTGGTCAGCACTGCAGAAAGTGCACACTTGGCAGCTGATCATGTGGCAGGAGGTTGGGTCCCCCGTGGGCTCTGGCACTCCACGAGGACAGCAGAGCTCCCAGGCAGCTGCATTTAGACTTGTCCTTCCGCCTGAACTTGTTCTCCCATTACACAGCTGTGTGGATTCCTGCACACAGACACTTCACTATAGACTGCCAGGAGACTGTTTCCTGAATGAACGCATTAATGTTATAAATTTTGTACTGGCAAAAAAAGTTAAGACTCCTATTCCAACTACAGACAGAAATAAGTCATTCCAACTCTGAGCACAATTGACCTTGAACACTGTTTCTTTTTCATTCATCAAGCATTGCTTGCTTTCAGGGCCCGCTTTTCAAGCCCATGCTTTTGGAGCAGTATTCCTTTCTCTTGAGCAGGTCTGGCTTTCCCCTGTTTGGATCACAACTGTTTTGGGCAGAGATGTCTTCCACCAGAAGTCTCAGAAACTTCTACATATAGTGCATTGTGGCTTTTCCCTGGACTGCTTTTCTCAGAATCAAGATCCAGTTAGTGATCTGGAAATTACTATTAGTGTCTCTGCCCTTATAACTCTGCCCATATGTAATTTTATGACAAAGTAATTTATTTTTTCCTCTTTATATTATGTGTCATAGTTCTCTTAAATCACTGAAATCTTTTTTATGAGCTCTTTATGATAATGGTCTCTTCCAGTCTTTGATTTCTTATGTTTCGAACCAGGCTCCTTTTCCCTGTAGGTCATGCTACTTGTAAATACATACAGTGTATGTATTTACAGTTTGAGAGGAACTTCAGTACTTTTGTGAGGTCATTAGCAGATATTGGTCCATGCCTTTTATATAGCAAAGAACCACTCCAAAATGTGGAAATGAAAATACAGTTAGGTAAATTTTTGCCATTGAAATATATCATCAGCCTTACTTTTGCACATGGTATTCCATCTTATTTCTTCAAAGAACTGATTGCATAAAACCTCACCATACTTCGTGGATGAAATGCATGGGATACTGTAGGAATTTTACCTTAACCTCTCCACCATTTTCTTTTAAGATCTGCAGAAATATTAGCTTTCCCTCTGCTCTGCTCTAGCTGTACACACATTCTCTTCACACAGCCGTTAAAGAACACCACTACTCTTCTCATCTGAATTTGTTCCTTTTCTAAACTGTGTTTATTCATGGTGAGGTTATGCCCATTTATTCTTGTGTCAACATTTTTCTACGTCTTAAATAGCCCCTCTCTGGGATTTACCCTAGAGATTTACCCATGATTTATGATGATTCTCAAGGCAAATAACTTCTCCCTATTCCTGGAAGACCCAGGATCTTTTTTGCTCTTGTAAGAGAGGATGAGACTGTTGGTAGACTTCCTATGCATGTCATCCAGTCCCATCTTTTTTTTCACCTGGATCATGAATGAGATTAAGCACTGAAGCTTAGATCTCAAAATGAAAATGGTTTTCTTTCTGGACACAACTCCCCTGATATAATTTGCTTTTTCCATAGCTGTGTTACAATGGCGGCTCACATTTGTGCACAACTGGTACACTCAGGTCCTTCTCTTCTGTCTGTCGATTTGGATAACCAAATTTCATGCTGTCCTGGGAGCTCCTGCATCTGCATCCTCCACTGTGCTATTCCACTCTTCCTCTGCATTGACAGCAGTTCCCAACTGTTGAGGTTTTTGCTAGCAACTAATGACCTTGGTACAAGAACTGTGTGTGAAAACATTACAAAAAATCCTTTCTAAGACCGAAGTTGAAGGAACCCAGAAACTACTAGAAAATTCCTCCAGGACACTGTTTTCTCTTCCAGCAAAACATTTAAATTTATTTTCATAAATGAGTTCCTCATCTACATGTTCACATGCACCATATTCAGCTTTCCAGCTGATATTCAGAAAGATTCTTGTGCAGAATATCTGGTATTTTTTCCACTGGATTTTGTGTTAGCCTCCTAACTGATCACTTATTCCTGTTTATCTCCATATTTTCAATTGTTACTTTTTCCTTCTAAAACTCTCCTTATTTTTGAGGTGAGATTAAGCACTACAGCTGGATAAAACTGTCATTTTGAATGTATACACTTCATTCATTGTTATGTGGTAACACTGTGTTAGTTGATAGTGATATTTAAAATCCTTGCTTCTGGGCCTTAGGTTTCATGGGCCAGTTGTGGACTGGAAAAAATAAACATAGATCAGTTGACTGATTTTCTGGAGTAATGCAAATGCTGTCTTGCTGGCCTAGGTTAAACAAGCCTCCCCATCCTGTGACTCATTCATGTTGCAGGTCTTTTGCAGACTGCTTGTATTCAAAGAAAAGTGAGCTTTGTAGCTCACTCATAACTTCCTTTTGAGATCTGCAGATTTCATGCTCAGAAAAAAGGCTTGAAGAAAGCAAAAATGTCACAGTGGCTGCATTTGCACTAACAACCCTATGGAGGCCTGTTTGCAGATTCCTGATTGCCAGGCTGAAGCAGGGGCTTCCCACAGCCACAGGCTGCCAGGTGGTATCCTCGGAGCAAGGCACTGCAGGCAGAGGGGAGTGAGCAGGACACACTCCCTCCTCTTCCTTCTTAATTTGTATCTTTCTTTTCTTGTTCTAGACCTGGTTGTGATCCTCAGGTTGTTAGTGAAGCAGCCAGAAAAGCTGGTTTGGGGCTGAGAGCTTTGAACCAGGCAGGTGCTGCCTGGGTCATGGACACTTGCTTTAGAGCAGCCAGCTGTGACCAGTCTGGGACTTGGTGTCCTCTCTGTGCAAACGATCACGCTCACCCTCCTGCCTTCTGTCAGATGACCCACTTCCAGTCTGTGGCTCAACTACTGCACTGGATAGGCTCTGGCATTGCTGGAATTTAGTCTTGATCCATGAGAGGATCATTTGGTAGGAGGACATTGCTGAGACAGTCACAAAAGGGTTCATTTCCAGGAATAGGCCCAGAAATACTTTTTACCAGCAAAATTTCCAAGTCATACACGTGAAGCCTGAATACCTGAGATACAGCCCACTGTTCCTTTCTTCCCTAGCAGTGGTGTAGTTTCCAGCCAGAGGGACCAAAGGGGGAAAAGTCCTGTTTGCTTTGTCCTTTTCCCATGTCTGCTCCCCGTTGTGCTGTGCCCTGGGTGCAATGCTCATGGCACAAGTTGCTGGGCCAGTTAAGGCACACAAACAGCCTTACAACAAGTCACTGCAGTGTTTTGCAGTGCTGATTTTCTGATGTGTTCGCCAGTTACCTTCAGTTGTGGGTGACTCCAACATGTGCTGGTGCTGGCACAAGGCATGAAGCAGCAGCTGTCCCCTAAGAGAATACAACCTGACCCAAATCACTCTGGCAGCATAACCTTTCTGATATTTTTTTTTCTTTGTCTCAGGAAATTCTTTGTAAAATTCTTTTTTCTGTCAGTGAATAATATGTATGTTCCAATCACAAGAGTTTTTAGGTACCTACATAAACCATTGTCCCAACTGTGTAATAAATTGTAAAGGTTCCCTAAAAAGTAAAATGGAAAGATTAAAATATTGCTCTGTTAGATGATGTAACCATCAATCAATAATAATGTGTAGGTGTAGAATTCAAAGCCAAACAGCCTAGAGTCTGGGCTTTGGTAGTTCAAAAGTAATTGATAAGGAGTTCTTTCTGTGAGAGAAAAAACCATGACCAGTGGATCTTCTGAAAAACCTATGGCGGTTTTTCTGAAGCAACTGCAACTTGAGGCTAGTTTTTTCTAGATGATTATGGTATTTGTGTCCACCCTATCATAAAATGGGTACTGAAATAAAACTGTAAGATTCGTCTTGTGTGTTAAATGTCAAATTTATTTTCTTGTAACTCATTTACCTTATTCATTCTTGAATAAGGCGTAGAGAGTCTTCAAATTTTGACCAAATGTGTAGACATGTTGCATTTGCTTTTGGAGATGATTTTTGACAAGACTTGTTATAAAACTTCTTTATTTTTTTCCCCAGAGCTCAGAGGATGAATCAAAGTGGGTTGAAGATCTTCTTAAGATGCACACTGCACGTGTCCGTGACATAGAACAGCTCACTAGCTTGGACTTCTTCCGAAAGACCAGTCGCAGCTACACAGAAATCCTCTCCCTAAAGACATACCTGCATACATTTGAAAGTGAAATTTAGCTTTCTAACCTTACTCAGTGCATCCTTTTATCAACTGGTGTATATTTTTATATTGTTTTTATATTTATTAATTTGAAGCCAGGACATTAAAAATATTAGTATTTTAATCCTGTATCAAATCTTAAACATTAAACCTTTGTGTCATTTGTTTTGTTTCTCTAATGTTTAATATAGGTATGTCTCTTGGTTGATTTAGTAGTGCTTGTAATACTGCATTTTGAGTCCTTACTCTGAGCTTTTAAGTGGTGCTGCAAGGTTTGATGCGTGCATCAAGGAGATATTAATTTCTCATGCTCCTTTACCACACTTGTAGTCCTGTACTGTGTATCAAAAAACTGAACATGTAAAATTACACTCATTTACTGATAACTGTGTGACAGACATATTTAAACACTATAGACAAATAGCATCTTAAATATAATAAACCACACATTCAGTTTTTTTAATGTGTTTTGATTTCCTTTCGCAGAGATGTTGAGAGGGGCTTGTGGGCAGCTGAGTGCTGACAGATCTCTTACTGGGTAGAGCCCTTCTCTAGAGCTTAGGCTTGCTGGTAAGAGGATTGCCAGGGGCCCAGGTGCCCTGCCCTGGTACTCAGCAATGAGACCATAAAATAGACACCCTCAGCAGCCATTACTGGTTAGGTTTTGTGTTATAGGGGAAGAGCTGGGAGGGGAGGATGCTTGATGTCATGAGCTAGCAGGGGTACTTCATGCCTGAGGCCACTTGGTCCTGCTCCAGAACTGTGGAAAGGATTCAGGGTGATAACATCTGTTATCACTGGTAGGGCTGTGTCATACCCCTTCTCTACCACAGCTGCTCTGGGCTGGTTCCTGGGAATACCTGCTCTGTGATCCTTTGCATTGACTTTGGGGGAAATTGAAAACAGACAGATGTTGAAGGAAGTGACACTGTTTAACATGCAGCACTTTTAGCTGGGAGGAGAAAATCTGATTTTTATCCTCTTGTCCTAAAGGATAGAGCTTGAGATGTGTTCCTCTAGTCTGAGTCTGGGGTTTAATGTCAGCCCTCGTTCTCAAAGGAAACCCCCAGGTCTGATGCCGCACGTGTATCTTGTGGTACAGCGAAGTCCATACAGTGCACATGATTTAGAGCCATCACCTTCTTGGTCAAGTGAGTCAAGACTCTGTTTGCTACTTTGGTGCAGTAACAGTCTCGTAATCCTGGCAAATCCCTTCAAGTGTCACAGGGCAGAGTCCTGAGACCGTGGAATAGACACTGTTGTATGCTGATATCTGGATAATGGCCTGATTTGGCTTGGACAGGTTTTATAAAAGATGTGAGTTATGGAGCATTAGTGTACATAGCTGATGTAAAGAGAAATTATTGTTTAGAATGCCTCTGAGGCTGAACCCGCTAATGACACTATTGTAAATGCTACATTTGGGCTTACAGATCCCCCTTTCTCTACAAAAGTTGTTTGTGTCTATTTTCTCCTTGAAGATTGCTACTGCTGAAGGAAAGAGGGAGTGGCTGGAAAGCATCATCTACACAGATGAGTAGCCAGGGTCTCCTAAGTAAAATTAATCTAGCACAACAGAAACTTGCATCCCTGTAGCATCCATCTAAGAGAAAGTAGTAAACTGGAATTAATCATGTTAACATAGATAATAAAGTTCTTGTGACCAGACAAAAAAATATTATTCTAGGTGCCAAATTCTGTTTAATTTAGAAAAGCACAAAACTTGAATGCTTTATAATACCTCCAAAATGTTAGGATGGAAATTCTAATAACTGCACAAAGCTACGGGAAACATCCTATTCTTGCAACTTAAAAATTGTCTCTTGTGGTTGTCTGGTAGCACAGAAATATTTTCCTGTAAGCTTTCAACAGGGCTTCTTGCCATGATAAACTTTATGTTCTTACATGTATTACAAAGGATATTTCCTTTGGATTTAAAAGAGCTTTCTCTTAAGACCTAATTCCTTCAACATGACCTTTAGTGATGATTTAATGTGGTAGTTCATAAACTAAACTGAAGACCACCATTGCTGTTTTACTTTGACATTAATCTGTGCTCTATTTGTTTGGGTTTTTAATTAAATTGAACAAATTATGTAATTCTTTTATTTTCTCCCAAAATAACATGAAATTTATACCAAAGGAACATTTAAGCTCTGAAAAATAATCTTGTGTTCAGAGAAGTTTGTTTCTGAAATGTAATTAGTGATTGAAAATGACTGGGAGAGACAGTTTAACTCTTGGTTTCACTAAAGAATGGTGATTATTGTGTAGGGAAACATCATTTTTTTGACTGAGTTTATTACTGTGACTAGTAAATACTAGTAATTTACTTCTGTCCTACCTACTTCTCTTCAGCCTTTGGTTCCATGCACTTGCATGGTATTGGTGTTTTATTTTACTGCATTAACAGAAATAGCTGAGAAATACTTGCAGTGACTTCTGCACATGGCAGGGGGTACTTTTCCCACTGAAAGATGCCTTATTAACACAGAAGCTCTAAAGCCTTGTAAATCTCTCTAAGCAGCATGAGCTCTGCAGGAACAACAGGTATTTTAAAGGAAACTTGTAATTTGCCTTTGGTAATCTTCAGGGTGAATGTTAGCTTGGGGCAGATGGAAGGAACCCTTCTGCTTTCCAATCCTGTTTGATCATTTTGAAGAGATGAAATACAACTTGTTTCTGTTACATGTTGCCTTTTCTTGATATTTTTCTGGCTTCAGCAAAAGGCCCATTGAGGAGAACGAGCATTGAATTTTTCTGTTGAGCAAACATTATTTTTGAGGATTTGGGAGTTACTGTTTGCACTTGGTGATATGAGTTTGAGGCATATTCAGTGGGTTAGAGGCAGTTCAGTGCCACAACAACAAAAGCAGTGGTGTCCTGCACACTTAGCAACGTCCTTTTTGCTCTGGGAAAAATCCTTCAGATGTAGTTATGCAACTAGAATAACCCTGCTACAGGAAACTGTTACTTTTTTTAACCCCTTTTCCACAGTCACATATCCTTAATAGATAAGCACTGAAAGCAGGTCAAGTAACCTGACCAAGAGAATGGTCATGATGGCAAAATTATAGCAGAAGTCCCCATCCTGTTCAGACAGTACCACAGTACTTAAAGACTTATGAATATGTTCTGTCCTGGTCAGCCAACAGCTTGATTAGATAGAGACTTTCTCCATGTCCAGCCTTTAGCCTCTTTATGGGGTTAGGTACAATATTCAACTGGTTTTGCACTTTTTTGAATATTGGTTCTGTTTTGGTAACAGCATATCAGTTTGCACTGTGCTATAAAGCAATTTCATCTCCAGATGAACAAGAAAAATGAAAGGATTTAGTGGTCATGTCTGTGCCATCTTGTGAAGGTTGTTCCAGAGTTCACAGGGATTTAGTGTGAGTAATAACCATGTGTAATTAGGCCAATCTTGCTGTGTCCCTGGAGGCTGCTCCATAGCAGTCCTGCCATGATCCCTTGCTTCTCAGTGCTTTATATGCAAATAGTTGGTCAGCTGAATGTGTGAAGATTTTAAGACTTTACAAATGAAAATGCACATGCATGGCAGGTTTATGAAGTCCCTGTTTCCCTTGCATTTGGTTTCTTCCTATACATCAGTCTGTCAGGTACAAGAGGTGACATAACTCTAATTCCTGCACATAGCCAGGAAGCAAAAACCTTTTCAGGAAAGCTGAAGGAGGTTCCCTCTGAAGGTCTTGCTAGCTGCCGGAGAGAACAGGAACTTGGGCAGTGCCTGTCTTGGACAGTGAGCAGAAAGTGCAGGACCTGACCTGAAAAAAAAATTGTAGCAGCAGGAACTGATGTTCCAGCAATCCTTCCCTTCCGTCTCACATCCACATCAAACATCTTTAATTACCTTTACATTTGTATTAGACTTCTGTGCAGATTTCTGCAGGAGACAGAGGGGATACTGCTTGCAGTGCAATAGAGAAAATTTCCCCTTAATACTTTTTTTAAAAAAACCTGCAAGCCCCTACCAACAGAGGGGCAAATTCTCTTGTTCTGCCTTGTGAGAGAGGTGTACAACCAGGCTTTCCCAGGGTAGGGGAGGGAGTGGGTGTTGCAGAGCTGCCACTTCCTCTCTGTTCCAGTATGGTGCTCTTCCAATGAGTTTGGCACTTACAGCAGCCAGGTTTATTCTGCTGGTTTGGCACAGAGAGACAAATGAAACTTCACAACACATCTGGGAGGCTGATGTTACCACAGGCATGGATGAAACTGTGTCATGGAGAGGTTGGACAGTCTGTTTAAGGGCATGCATATAGTATGGCCTGTAAAGCTGGTCACAGTGCTCCTGTGTGGGGCTTAATATGTGACACTTTGAAATAATTTCTGATAGTGCTATCACTGATGGGAGAGAACAAGGTAAGTTTTGTAAAGCCAAACCTTCAGAATCTTGTGGCTGAAATAAAATTTGAATACAGGGCAAGAGAAGCAAAACTCTCTTCCTTTGGGGGCAATAAATAATGCTGAATTGTTTTGCTATCAATCCCATGCATCAAAATTATTTTGGTAGGCCTGGTTCCTTACCAGAGTCCTTCTGTACCCCAGAGAGCTGCCACAGTATTTGTCTGTCCATCCTGTCTGTGGTCCTAGACCAGGCTGGTTTTTGACTAGTTTCAATTTCCCATACTGGAGTCTCAGACCACAGTTGCACTTGACCTAAGAGACATGGTACAGTCATGAAAATATAAGTATAACCTGACCAGGATAGACCTGCCAGTAAATGATTAATACCACGTTAACTGTACATCTTCCAAATGAGGGAAATGTGTTTGAAATGTTTAAAGTTCAGCCCTTGTTCAAGAGAGGAGAAAAAAAAGGTTTTTTAAACATTGTGGAAAAATACCTAATCTCGTTTCTTTGCACTTGTTGTGTAAATACAAGATAAGAGCAGTATTCCCAAGGTTACTGCAAACAGCCTGTCACTACAGAGTACAAACTAACATTCACTACAATGTATGTTGACATAAAAAGCAGCATTGCTGCAGTCAGCTGTGGTAAAAAACCCCACAGGTTTCTTTCCCTTCACAAGTCAAGAGTTTGGGACATAACTTATTCAGACCTGCCCTCACAAAGAAAAATCCCTGCCCTGCTTAGAGCATCCATGGTATGTGCACAGTTGTTGTGGAGCCTTACCTTACTGCATTACCTTATCTGTTGTTTTCTAAACACGGTAGGGAAAGGCATGGAGGTCACCCAGGTTTCATCTGCGGTTTCACCATGGGGACATCAGGAGGCAAAGAAGTTAGTAACTGTGGATTAGCACAGCTGTAACTGATTGACCCTAAAACTGGAATTTACTAGAAGAGAGGTGGGATTATTTGGCATCATAAACCATCAACAGAAAAGGATTAAATCCTTTTCAGGGGATATTTTCCTGAGTTTTCTTTTTCCTGGCTATGTGTAGCAAGTAGGGAATTATTTCTTCTTTTCTACATGGAGGAC